GGTCTGGCCATGAAGCGTTCCTGGTGGCGTCTACACCCGTGACGACCACATTATCTGCAGGAATGTGAGCAGAGTCATTTCCAATAATGATTCCGCCAGCTTCCACACCTCCAGACAAGTGAGTGTGGGTGACATGGGGCTGGAGAGGGAGGGAGTTTGAAATGCTTGTCAACTTGACTTCCAAGCCCCTCATTCACTGTAATGTGATGCAGAGGTTAATTGTGGAGCTGTGTAATAAGTGTTAATGTTGTTGTCTCTGACGTCAGTAAAGAGGTTCAGGGGACATTTGATGAATCGCTTTCTGTACTGGAGAATTAGTCACTTTTATTTGTATTGTTTTAAAACACTGTTAACACGTTTACAGTTACGGAATAGCTTCCGAATCTCTGCAGTCAAAATGTATGGTTGTGATCACGCAGTTGTCAAAATGCTGATATAACTGGACTATGACATGCATTTTCCAAAATGCGTAGTGTGAGATAACCCCCACCACCCCTTTTTTTTTTAAGAAATAAGAAGTGCCCATAATTCCATTAAATGTGCACTTGTAGTATACTTTTGTATATTTTCTGTACCTGCAGATAATTTAATAATAATGAAAGAGAATATACTTTAATGGCACATTTTTAAAAACTGCACTTTGTAACAATGTAACATAAAATGTTTTACTATAAAGAAATTATGCTTAAATTATCTTATTTTGTACTTTATAATGGTACACTTAATTTGATGTGTACTAAATTAAAACAAATGCAAAGAGCTTGATTATAATTTCAACTGTTTGGTGTTATTAGATGTTACAGTAGCTACATTTAAAGTTCATAATATTTTACTAAATTGCAACTTCATTACACATGGGCAATTATTATTTTAATACATGATATAAGCTTCATCAGAAATGACATTAAAGTAGACCCATATTAGTTTACAATAAATGCTTGTCAGTAGACGCACGCAGTACACTCGCCAGAACACTTTAATCATATTTAAAAGATAACAGAAGTAATGAAATTACATGTAATACTTAATTCTTACTTAAGTGGCTTTCTACATTTAATATTAAATTGAAACAATAATCTAATGTAATTCACTTGTAATTAACATACATTTAGTGCCTGTGAAAACATTACAATCCGCCAGGTTGCCCCTTTGACCATGCTTTAATATCTGACGACGCCCTAGGATCGCGTGTAACCCTATCCCTACCCCCAGACCTAAACCTACCTCATCATCTAACTGACGCTTTTCCTTTAGCGTCAGTCAGATGACGTCGTAGGATCGCGTCATCTAACTGACGCTAAAGGGCGCCTAAAGCGTCGAATATTGAAGCATGGTCAAAGGGTGACGCCTTGGGGTGAGAATGCGTTGGACATAAACATTCATAATAAAGGCTAGATGTCTTACAGCTGAGTCTCTTTCATCATCACCGGCGGCCATCTTGTCTCAGGCAGGCTTACTGGCGGGCTCTGTGGTACCTGCTGTAAGATGAGTGATCAGCACGAACACAAATAGTCTTATCTCGTTGAAATCTTGACGGATTTACAAACGGTTTGGAAAAAAAAAAATCTAAATTTAACAGAAATATGTTCTGCATATTATTCAGTATATTTTAGCAATAATCAGTAATGTAGTACCCATTCTGAACAACCAACAATACAGTAACACACAGTAAAAAAAAAAAAAAAAAGTCAGATGTTTTCTTACCTTGTTATCACATTTGTTAATTTTTTATGTGTTACTGTGCTAGATAAAGTTCCAGACAGATTTCTCTCTCCAAAATGCTTTTGTCTCTCAATTTCAAGGTTATGCCCTCAATTTTGATTCAGTGAAAGCTCATTTTCTGTATAGTGCTTGAAATACTTGACGAACACCGGTGCAACTAGACTCCACTTTTGTGTGAAGTGCATTAAAGAAGCACGGTTCAACTGGCTGCATCATCTCACTGAGGGTTGTACTGAAGTTTCCGTGTTGGATTATTCAATTAATCACCCGAATTTTGCAAGGCTATTATGACAATTGTGAATAAGACAACCAGTTTGTCCATTCAAAAACATAACAAATGTTTACTGCTGTCAAGATGCAGCAAAAATGCAAGATCCAAATTGCTATTATTTAATCCCACTAATCCCAGAAATAGAGCCCAAATGACTGCTTGAGGAACGCACCTGTTGGTACATTTGCATTATTTCCCCATGTCTGGTGCTGACTGGATTGATCTGGTTGAGGATGACATCAGTCACAACCTGAGCTCAGCTGAGTTCTTTTTTTCCACTTCGTTTTCCATTTATTCTTACCGAATCATATTTCAGTATTTCATGTAATTGTCATGTCAACTGTCGTCTGACATGATTGAATCTATATGCACTGGGGGATTATACACTTATATTATACACATAACTGGCAAATGATATGGACAATTTAGTCAAATAATCAATATTGGTTCAATTAATTACTGTCAGGTGATTCATTTAGGAAAGGAAGATTCAGTCATGTGTATGTTTTAAATTACACAGTGGCTTGTAGTTTACTGTACAGCCATAAAACAACTGACTCCAAGCACAACTACAAAATTTGCTTATAAAATCTTTAAAATGTGTATAATATGGATAAAGGAGTAAAGATGTCAAATTTCCTATATAAATTGCCGGACATCACTTTAAGCTATGTATGCATTAAGAGATCTAACTTCTTTTTATAAATTATTGCAGCAAAGGCATTTTAAATGATGTTTCTAAAGCTGGTCTACAGGCGCAGGTTCTTCATCAGATCTGGATACGGCCTGGATCTGGCGGACTGCGGTAAACATCGGGATAAACAGAGACTAAATATTAGCGTAGACGCCATTCTTATGATGTAACAAGTACATCAGGATTTATGGGAAGTGTTCCCGGTTCCGGCTGACCTAATCTATGCATCCTAACATTGAATTGAAGTCAATAATGTGTTTAATAAATTTAACCTTTTTAATGTTTTTTTCTTCTTCCTATTTAATATATATATATATATATATATATATATATATATATATATATATATATTTATAAAGACAAACATTTTCCTCATATTTTGATGGTTTAATCAACCTTTTAGGGCAATGAAAAACAAATATCCTCTCACTACTGTATGATGTAGGCTACAGTACACACCAAATAGTAGGCTTACTTGAAATGTGTGTGTGAAATATGGTATAATGTCTCCCCCCTGTGGTCATATTCTAAAACATAAATCTGAGTCTTTGAAAATGTAACTCGTGGTGTTTGACAGTGAAAAAGTCCAAGGTTGTAATCTAAAACCAATGATAATGTTTTCTTTTCTTTTTTTTTTTTCCCACTATATTAAACTGAAAGTCATACAGATGCTCCTTTGCTGTTTTGGCACTGCTTTTACTTTCTATAGAAGAAGGGTTTGGTCCGTGTGTGTATGTGTGTGTGTGTGTGTGTGTGTGTGTGTGTGTGTCATTGTACCCTGAGTAGCTTGTGCCTCAGCCAAAGTAATTACCCCAACCTTCATTTAACTGGAACACAATGGCTCTGGGCGCAAGCCTTTGTCATTTTAAAGCCTCTAAATAAGAGCTTCTCCATCCCTAATCATTCATCATGTGCGCTGGATTTGTCTCTCATTATCTGCCACTTCTGCTAATTGAGATGATTTGCTCCGTGTTCTTTGAGGATCTGGATGAGGACTTGCTGCCATGAGATAGGCCTACTGCAGGTTGAAATGAAGGGGAAATCACCCTCACGGCTTCTGGTTATTGCATTTCACCCACCGTGATTTCCAGGTGCAGACCCTAAAGCTGACAGACTGAAGCCATAATTAACCAATTTCTCTCTGCTGTAAAACACTAAATTGAGTCGTAAATAGTGGTAGACCAATATTGGGTTTTCAATGGCCCAAGAAACTCTACCGTGATAATCCAATTCAAATTAAATTTACACTTTGATTTAAATAGCTGAAACGAAATGAAGTTATTTCATCCAGTATTTGATCAAAATTCATAATTGTAAAATATACATTTTCTGAAAATGTATATTTTACATTTATGAATATTAATTGTACACCAGTAACAACATACTTGTACACCATTGGACAGGTCCTTATTTCTATGTAGCCCATCTCCCCAATCCACAAATAATTTGGTTGAATGCACAAATGTTTATTTGGTCTATTTAACAGTTGAATACAATGCAACTCATTTTAAAACTTACTGTCATCAAAAAGACCTATGATTAAAAATGTGATCAAGAAAAAGAAAAGGAAAGATATATTTTGGAATAAAAACTAGGACAAGATAACAAGTTAAGGGCTAAGTTTAGGTGTGGGGTAGGGTGTGCGTGTCATATTCACGCTAAAGGATAACGTCTTGGGTTCGCGTGTTATATTAACGATAAAGGGTGCCATGTGCGTATAGTATAGCGCCGTTTTTGCATATAGCGTTCTATATGACGTTAAAGGATGAGAACGGGCTGAAAGAAAGAAAGAAATTTAATACACTAGAAATATGAACAGTGGCAAAACATAAACTATAACAGAAATAGGTAGGCCTAACTCTCAAAATTCTTGGTAAATATCCTCACTTTACAAATAAGGGCTAACGTACTGACAAAAAATATAAATATATTATATATATTTCTAACTATTGCTACCTAAACATGCGCTCTAATAAATGTTGGGTTGTTTTAACCCAATTTTGGGTAAAATATGGACAAATCCAGCCATTGGGTTACATTTTTAAATGACATTTTTAACCCAAAGGCTGAGTTTGTCCATATTTTACCCAAAATTGGGTTAAAACCACCCAGCATTTTTTAGAGTGTGTATGCAGTTTTTTCCCCTGTTTATAGTAAGAAAATAATAAATACTATGGCAAATTATAACAAGTAAACCCTTCCAATTTCCAAAATAGTAAATAAAGTAGCTAACTCTGTACTGAATATAGCTACAAATAAATACCTATATGAAAATGCATTTATATAAATATGTTTTAAAATATATAGCATGAATATTTTAATAATTTCCTTATTTATTTATTTTTGATGATGATGATGTATTAAAACATTAATGTGTATATGAAATATATAGTAAAGGCCCACATAGCAGATTCATCTTCACACAAAAAACACTAAAATCATCCAGTGCACATTATTAAATTATTCTGGAATGTGCAGATCAGCTGTGAGACACTGCACCAGGAAGCAGAGAGCTTTTATCGTTGTGTTGTTCGGGTGGACGTTCCTCCGTCTCCTGCAGTGCTCCCACCATCGATCCTAACGTGCCAAAGCTGCTGCCGCAGTTCTCCACCTGTGCAGAAACGCACAGTGTGACCTCTGACCCCTTCAGTTTGGGCAGGACTTCAGGCTGAGAGGGTGTGATACTGTCACCTATACTTTGGACCGTGACGCTGGACTGAAAAATGTGGTGCAGAATGTTGTAGCAATGTATTCTCAGTCTAATAGCAATGTATTTTCTTACACTGTAACAGCATCTCCAATAATGTACAGTGATAGTGATGGAAGTTAAAGAGCTGCATTGACGAGGCTTGAAGTAACGATGTCCAGTGAAAAGACGGGATTTGTTTAGTCTGAATGTAAAACTGCTGTGGAACATTATCACAACAAATAATATTACAGAAATACATTTATGTGAAGAAGAATTTTGGATCAGTGAGTGCCCACACCAGAAATTAAAACCAAGTGATCAACAAAATGTTTTCGATCTCTGCACAGTAGTGCCGGGTATGGACAAAAACCTACATTTGCAGGTTATACCTACATAGTTAGGACATAGTTTTCATGAGGAATTGGAACAGCTCATAGTGTTGTTTATTTGCGTCATCATCTACAATCACCTAATCCATAACAGGAATTAAAGGTGCCGTAAGCGATTACTGACAAACGCTGCTGAAAGTGGAGTGGCACCTCAACACAATCAGCAGTGGGAGATGGACACACTCATGATGGAGCAGGAGGAGAGAAAGAATGTAGAAAGAGAGATGGCTGAGAGACATTACAATATAGAAAATAACAGAGGAATATCGCAGGGTTATGATCAGGCAAGCGCTTTAGAAGCCGTGTTAATATTAGAAAAACTTTCCAGTGTTAGAGAGAGGCCTGAAAACAGACGCCGGAGTTGTGCTTTTTCTGCTCCATACGCAAGTAACATTTGATTTTGCTATATTTTTATAGAACCAAGATATGCTGTTGTTAAATGTTAGCTATTAGTAACTGGACAGTTCTGAGTGTCATTGTTTGTCTGGATCTGGTGTGTTGAAATTGGGGTAGAGAATTGTGCATTTTCATTGGTAGGTAAAATTTTAGTGTAAATATTGCCTGTTTTTGCAAAAACAGTTTCATGGCTGGTAATATATATATATATATATATATATACTGTATATATTTATTGGTCATTGCCAGGTGTGGCAAAAAGCTAGTTTTAGGCCCTGTGTGTGTGTGTGTGTGTGTGTTTGGGTTGATTTCAACTATCATCAGTGTTTCTCAGAAATCGCTTACTGCACCTTTAAAGTTCAACCAAAAATGAAAATTACCCCATGGTTTACTCATCCTCAAGTCATCCTAGTGTTTTTGGTATTCTTCTTTCAGACAAATACAATCAGAGTTATATTAAAAATGTCCTGGCTCTTCCAAGCTTTATAATGGCAATGAATGGCCGGTCACTGTTTTGAAGTCCATCAAAGTGCATTCATCCATGATAAAAGTAATACACAGAGCCTTCTGAAATGAATCGGTGTGTTCGTGTAAGAAAAATATCCATATTTTAAACCGTATCTACTAAAATAACTAGTTTCCGGCAGACGGCCTATGCAAGTCGACTTACGCCACAACAGTAACCTATGACGCTGGATTGGAGAGAGTAAGCTTTGACTCCTCTCGCGGTTCAAACTAACAGGGCTGGGCAACAAACTCAAGATCCTCTGACATTTTTATTTAAAATTTAAATTTCTAACTTTTAATTTGTGATTGTTGTTTTGTTTGGCTCTATCCTCTGTGCTTCCGCATTCATCAATGCATCCTGCATCAGGTCAGGGGTCACTCTTCCACCGTAAATCGATGCGTACGGCCGTTTGCCGGAAGCTAGTTATTTTAGTTGATAAAGTTTTAAATATGGATATTTTCTTACATAAACACATCGATTGACTTCAGAAGGCCTTTATTAACCCCCAGAGCTGTGTGTATTACTTTTATCATGGATGAATGCACTTTGATGGACTTCAAAAAACGACCATTCACTGCCATTATAAAGCTTTAAAGAGCCAGGACATTTTTTAATATAACTCCGATTGTATTCCGATTGTAAAGAAGAATGTCATATACACCTAGGATGACTTGAGGGTGAGTAAACCATGGGATCATTTTTATTTTGGGCTGAACTAACCCTTTAATCAAATCAAGCCTTTTCTGAGTGCTAGGTCACAGCAGACTCCTATGATCTAGTCTAGTGTAATTTACTGGGGACCACTTCTATAGTCAAAGAAATTACAAAGTTTTTCTCCAATTTTTGATCATCATTGAACAAACATCTCTTTAAAACTATATTTTGGCGAGCATTATATCAATCCCTGCTAATGTACTGTATTTTTATTTATTTTTGGGAGCTGAATTAGCAAATAGAGGCGCAAATATTTAGTAAATGTGTCCTTGACTATTTTGTTAATCTTTTGAAAATGATCTCCAAAAAGAGTGAAAATGCTTAATATATTAATTTGATTTTTAAAAGTCTGGAGTCTGTAAGATTTTTTTTTTTTAAATTTGAAAGAGGTCTTTGGTGAAAAAATCTCACCAAGGATTTATATATCCAGGATATATATTTTTAAAAAATACAGTAAAAACAGTAATTTTGTGAAATATTATTACAATTTAAAATGACATTGTTTTTTTCCTATTTTATTATATTTTTAAAATGTAATTTTAATTTTATTTTTAGCATCATTCCAGTTTTCAGTCACATGCCCCCTCAGAAATCATTATAATGTGCTGATTTAATGCTCAAATAACATTTCTTTTTACCACAACCGAAAACGTTGGTTCTGCTGTAATTATTTTTTTTAAGGATTATCAGTTTTGGACAGTTTAATACATCCTTGCTGAATACAAGTATCAATTTCTTTGAAAAAGTTTCACTGATCCTGAACTTTGAATGGCAGTGTATGTTCCTTGAACAAGTAGTAGTACAAGTAGAACACTTACATTCTCTATGGACACGTTGCTCCCCACAGGGGTCTTTTTCTTTCTTGAGATATTGGGGTTCCAGTGGCACACCAAACTATCATTCTGAACACTGTAGTTCTTGTGACCAATCAACCAATAGGTGTTCATTTTTCCTTTTCCCTGAAAACCCAATTCAAACACACTCATGTCATATTGTTAAAGTTAACATCTTTGCATTTCGATTAAATATTGTAAAGACAAACATTTCATTCATATGTCATAACTTCAAATCATGTTGTAATGAAATTTTTAAAGAATCCACTTTGTGGATTTACTAAATCTGATTTTAAGCAAAGTACTCTCACCTTTACTTCAATCTCACCCCGCAACTGCAGTTCATATGCATTGTCCTTCATGAGTGCCAGGTATGTAGCAGAGCTTGCATGAATCTTTTGTGCTGAAGACCAGATAAAAGAAACGTCAATGTTCACCTGTTAAGCAAAACGGCCAAAGAACCGAAGCTGTATTGGTGCTGAGGTGAAACTCAGACACATTAGGTTGTTAGCGAAGCCACGTGCTAATGTTATGGTTGAAATGGAGTCTGTTGTGAGCTCAATGGAGGAATACGATGAGGTCTCTATGGTGATGTAGTGAGCAAAAATATTCATGACCTCTCAAATACAGAAGTATCAGCGGTGGTCAAATAAAAAATGGTCAGCAAAAAGTAAAAAGACTTCACGTTAGCGAGATAGATGAACTTACGCAGACTTGTAGATTCCATCCGAGAGGCCGTGTTGACTGTGTCCCCAAACAAGCAGTACCGGGGCATCTTGTAACCAACAATGCCAGCTACACAAGGGCCTTAAGAGGTATGAGAAGCATGACAGAAAACACTGAAAACATCAAATCTAATGTTATGCTGTTATTGTTGTAATCATTATTACATTTATGCTAACTGGCATTGATCAAATATTGATTTTAGAAAGAGTTTAGGGAGGCTGCACTGAAACAAAAGCTGATGAATCATTGACAAAAATGAAATATAGCTGATTTGTTTACATTAATTTACAGGCCTAACAGTAGGGGTGCGGTTGCAGTTGATGCGTGATCTGTATGGACCAGGCCCCACGGTTTGGTAAGCATTTGATTTGCGGATTAATTGTTTAACCATGTGTATCTGTGCGCACAGCCGCACACTCACCCGAAGTGAGTGCGCACACACAGAGACGCAAACACCAAATCGATTCCTCTTTTCATTAACAGACACATACACTTTAAAATGATCTCAAAATACCCGTCACAGAAAAAGTATTCTCGTAAACGAAGTCCGTTATGGCTGCACCACTAACTAACAGTAACAATACTTACAATCTTGAGTCTATGGAAGCCCATTGAACCTTTTGTAGGAACATGATTACATTTAGCTCACAGATAGGCTGAGAACGCCACCGAGCCGCTTCCTACACCTCCTGTCCCGTGGAACCAGGTAAGCGCCGCACAGCACACTCGGACGCCGCTACGGGCTGCCTCCCAGAGAGAACGGCCCAAGCCGTGTCCCTGTGTTCCTGTCTGCCCCACTCCGGGTTTGCGTAGGTCCGTTGGTCCTCCTTGTACAGTCTCTGAGAGCCTGTTTAGCACTCCCCAGTACATCTCGCTGGCTCATTCGGACCATCAGGCTCAGCTATGCGAATCACTTCGCCCGGTGTACCCCCAAGTTTCGGGCCATCCACTCCACTACAGTGCGAGCAGTCGATGCCCATGTCTTGTGTGCAGAGATTGCAGTCCCACTGGCAAAGGACGAGATAGGCCCTCCAGGCAATATGAGGTCAGGGCACTGACTCAAAGGGCACTAACTCACAGGTCACAGTCCCTACGTCATTGTACCCAAGAAAAGGGGTGGGTTATGACCAATCTTGGACCTGCGAGTTTTGAATCAAAGCCTCCACAAGCTACCGTTCAAAATGCTCACGCAGAAACGCATTTTCAAATGCATCCGTCCCCGAGTTTGTTTTGCAGCGATCGACCTGAAGGATGTGTACATTCATGTCTCGATTCTTCCTCGACACAGGCCGTTCCTGTGCTTTGTGTTCGAGGGTCAAGCATATCAGTACAAGGTCCTACCCTTCGGGCTGTCTCTGTCCCCTCGTGTATTCACGAAAGTCACGGAGGGGACCCTTTTTAACATGAGAGAACAGGGCATTCGCATCCTAAACTATCTCGATGACTGGCTCATAGTGGTGTAGTATTCTTCTCGTCAAGAAAACCCCCAAAGATGTCAGATAGGGTATGTGCTTTCCTTCTTGCAGCAAGGGTTGGAATGAAGGCTGTCTCCCTCCACCCTTAAAGTACATGCTGCTACTATTTCAGCATATTACGACCACATAGATGACCAAACGACCTGGTTGTCAGGTTTCTTAGGGGAGCAAGGCGATTAAATCCTCCTTGATCCCCTCCATACCCTCTTGGGACTGCTCTGCGTATGTATGTGGACAGAACTCAAAGCATCCAGACTTCAGACCAGCTCTTTGTCTGTGGAGGCCAGCAGAAGGGAAAGGCTATCTCCAAGCAGAGGATGGCCCACTGGATAGTGGATGCCATTGCCTTGGCTTACCAAGCTCAAGGCATGCCTTGCCCGCTCAGGTTGCATGCACACTCCACGAGAAGTGTCGCATCCTCCTAGGCGCTGGCAATGTGGCTCCTCGCTAACAGATATCTGTAGAGCTGCGGGCTGGGCGACACCTAACACGTTCGCTAGATATGATAGCCTACGTGTAGAGCCGGTCTCCTCCCGTGTTCTCACCCTAGACTGGTAGAAGCACCGAGAGGCCTGGCTCTGTCGGCTTGCTGCACCCTACTGTGTACCCTTATTGCTCCAGAGTGGAAAAACCTGTCGAGTCCTCCAAAACCCCTTGGCCCGGACATGGCAGAGTGTCTGGTGCCAGGCCTTTATCTGCTGAATCCTTGAGAGCCGGATCTGGGTTGGGTTCCGAATGTGTGACCCTAGGGGGATCCCATATGTGTGTATTTTCCACGGCTACTCCTAAGACAGAAGCCCGTGTCTTTCCCTTGGGCTAAGTCTCCCATTATCCATATGCAGTACAACCTTCGGGTTAGTCCATATGTATTTTCCACATAACTATTTGAAGTGGCTGCAGCAGCTTTCTCCTTCCTAAATAGAAAGGGCACACTTTCCCAGTGTTATTCAATATCTCACTGTATGGGTTATCACGGAACAACAGTGTCAGACTCACTCTATGTAAGCCTCCTCCTATCGTCTTTCCAGGCAAGAAGGTGTAGAGGCTTGCATGGGGCGCTGGATGGGGTGCAGCGGCTGTGGCACTTTGATAGGGATTCCTATTGGTCAGTCATGACCTATGTTGTAGTGACTGACCGAAAGAGAATGTCTTGGTTACATATGGTAACCCTTGTTACATGAGGGAGAGAACAGAGACATAGGTCCTGTCGCCACATCTTCTGCCGCCCGCCGGGATGGCCAGCTTTTTCAGGCTTGGCTCCTCAGGAAAAATCTAGTGTGCAGTCGCAACAGCTGCTCGTTAAATACCCGCGCTGCGAGGCTGCACAGCTGATGCAAATGTTTGCACGCCAATGTGCATTGGCTTGTTTTAGTTTCACTCGAAGTAGAATGGCCTCTCTAGCGAGATTCCTATTGGTCAGTCGTGACCTACGTCTCAATTCCCCCCCTTAGGGTTACCATATGTAACCGAGACGTTTCACCTGTTATACAGGAGCCAATCTGTTCACCACGGAGCCGTTGCCACGGTATGCGTTAAAACATACAAAAAGTCATTAAAGTCCCTGTAAAGTCAAAATTAAGAATGTGTTCTGAGTTTGTTACACCACCGAAAAATGTGTTATTAGCCACCCAGCCAAATTTGAATGATAAAAAAAGCCGTCAAGTAAGTGGAAAATAAGCTATTAAAATCATGAAAAAATGAGCAGTTCTCTCTGTTCTCAAATGCTGGGGGGGCGTGTCCGCTGGCTGCGTGGAAACCACGCCCACTCGCGGGAAAGCTGTCGATGGTGATATTAACTGATACTGCTTTCGGGACGGGAGAAATGAACGCTGAGGCGGGAGATAGTCGGTTCGGCCCCGTTCACCAGTAACAGCGGATTATCAGTGAATCCCAGTTGTCTCTGAGGAAAGTTTATAAAACGATCCCGTGTAAAATGATCACTACAGAGGCGGGTGTTGGCGGTGATCCTCAGCTCTTCATCAAGGTTGGCTCTCAAAAGACCTCTTCTTGATGTGATCGTTTTTATGGGAATTTAAATAAAAATACCGATCTGTTTTGTACATGATCGCATCCAGGTAGTAGCCAATGCATTTCTGAGTTGAAGGCATAGCTAGCTAGAAAACTGTAGGCTCAGCTGTAGTAACTTGAATTGTAGCCTACTGACAGTCACTCGCGATTGAGCGGTGAATGCGAATGTGCTCGGGGAGTGTTATTGTGTGTTAGGGGAGATATCAGACTCTGTGCGTCATCAAATAGGGGCTTGTCCAGGAGCTCATGGGCTCCAGTGCGTCATCGAGCCCTGTTTTAGCGCCACCCAAACAATCCGTAAAATTGCAATGGTGAAAAACTGTTTAATGGTCTAACTACACATTTCAGTACTTCACAGTGCACAGACTTTGTAATATGTTTTAGCAATACATATGTAACATTTATAATGTGTTTAGAACTTTTTTGTAGAATTGCCTTTACAGGGACTTTAAAAGATTTTTGTTTGACCAAACTGTTCTTGAAAAATGCATCATTGTCACCTCACACTGACCACACAATATCAGCAAGACAAAACAGCCAGGCAAGAACATCGTTCTCTGGCAATGAAACCCAGTAAACTAATCAAGGATCTTGCCAGGACGTCGCCAGTTTATACAAAAGTTGGTGTTTTGAGGTGTAAACGACATGCCATATAGTTGTTGTCAATTGTGTAATCTTAACATAAATGTGCTTACACGTTCACCAGTAGGTGGCGAAAACGCATTCATCTGTATGTGATTTGATGATATGGTATGAGAAGATGAATACATGGAGAATGAATGACATGTTACTGTTGTACTGCATCTACTTATTTACTTACAGTTACTTTGCATGCTTACTATTGTACACTTATTACTATACTACATTACAGCCTAACAGACTGCTAACATGATTATACGCACTTCGCTGCTCTTGTCTTTTGTCTGGTGCTATGTGGAGTGTATAAACAGGTAGGCTATAATGTTTGACATCCTGCTAGCCATATCTTTTTGTTGATATCTAATTTTAGCATTTGGTGACATGGCCTAAATAGTTAATTGATTGTAGTATTGGAAATGTGCAAGGCTGCAATTCCCCTGGCTGGCCACTGTTTGTCGCCATTTTGTCGGTGTTTGTTACCCGCCAGGTAACCATGGTAGTCACGTGACTGCAAAGTATGAATAGGTGGTGCTGACAATTGGCCAAAAGTGATAATCAGGTAAATCTTATTACTAGTGGTTGTGTTGGTAATATTTCAGCCGTTTTGCCTAAAATAATCTAAAAATTTCTTTAATTACTTGTTGAAGTCTGATAACTCCTCATTATGCCTCATTTGCACTTGGCCCCTTAATTGCTGCTTGCAGCTATATTTATTAATACATCTGTAATAATCAGTTTTTATGCAAAGAGAGAGTACACACACCTGTGTGTATGCCGGCTCTGAGTTGAAGGCGTTTGTTTGGCATGTGGGGTATTGACACCTGTCTGACTGCAGCCACTAGATCCAGAGACATTTTAGCGATCTCATCAGCATGTTTATCTTCGTTTTTCTCCGGCAGTCCACTGACCACCATGTATGCATCTCCTATAGTCTCCACCTGTTTCATTTAAACACACAAGCTTGTCAATGCTTAATATTTAGAGTCACAATGTAAAAACAAATGCTAAAATGGGAATCTTTTAATTTTTTTTACATAAAATTCTTTGGGTAAAAAAAAATCCTTAAGCATAATCCAGACATGATTATGATTATTTGCTGTATGATAATTCATATAGATTATATGTGATTGTGTTTAAGAATATGTTCATACCTTGTAGACATCATAGGAGTCAATGCGTGTGTCGAAGCACATGTAGAGGTTATTTAGCATCTCAACAACTTGTAATGGAGTACAGGAGGCTGATATAGTAGTAAAACCCACAATGTCAGAGAAGAAAATAGTCACCTGCAAGACAATAAATGTATCAGTTGCTTCTTAGAAGAAATAAGCAATCAAGTGCATCAATGTCTACATGTCATAGCTAATCGAAAAAAACCCCCAATTAACTAGATTACATTTTCTGAAAAAGAGTGGTGTTTGCCCATTTCAATGATATTTGTTCTTTTTATTTGATAGGGACAATGCTCATTAATCAACAACAAATTACAATTACATGCTATGGTGTTAGTAGTTTCAATGTAGTTTCTATTGCATTGCCAAGGGAACAACCACAAGTTTATATTTATATTATATGATATTCATGATTATATTGAGATTATATTTCATCTGCAGGTAAAAATCCACATAACAAGCTGCACGATTTGCAGCATTTGGGGCATGAAATGTGCATGAAAATTTAAGCACCAAAGTTTAATTCTTAGCATTATTGTTTGTTCAGATCACTAACCTCAATTATGGGAAATAATACCAATACTAATAATGAAATGTAATAAACAAGTAATAAGCCATTAATAAATGTAATCTGTCATATGAGTGTGTTTATTAACCTTACACATACTGTACCTGACACATAATGTGTTGTTATTTTAAAATGTAATATTAAATACTTATCCTGCTACATGTGAAACTATATGTCCAGTTCTTTGAAAAATCTATTTGCTTTAAGTGCACTAAGTCTAAGGGGACGAGCTTCAGGTGCACAAATTTGCCCATATACAGACGTGTAATTTACCCCACTCCCTCGTGAGCTGTTTTATCTCCTGATGAATATGGAATACCATAATTACAGGCAATTACTACAACAAAAAGAACAAACAGAATGGAACCATGTGCGCTTTCCTGACACTGCCATCTTGCCAACGTCCCTAATGAATATGCTTGTCTTTTCTTTAGACTTGAGTTTGATTTGTTAAAGGGAATGTTGGAAGAAAGGAACATTTCTTCTGTTTTAGCAGATAATATGGAAATATACAGAAAATATCTAATAACCATTTACCTTCTCATAACTCTCAGCCTCCACGTGTTTGTTTTGGCGTAGCTGCTTGGCCACAGTTTTGGGCAACATCTGATGAAGAAGATCTTCTGCCAGACATCTTTCTCTCTTCAGGGCTTCTGTCTTCTCCCTGAGGGTCTGAGCGTAATCCTGGATCCATTCCGTCATTTGCTTGAAGGAGAGCAGCACTATGGGATAAATGAGACAGGCAATGGCAAGCAGGCAGATCTTCAGACTGATGTTGGAAGAGATGTCTCTGGATTTCAGTTTCAGAGCCCATCCAGCTCTAGAATGAAAACATCTCAGAGTGTTCTCCAAGGCAAATGTCAATTCTGTGGATCCTTCATGAGTTGTGGCAGTAGAGTAGATTAAATTTTTTATATTAGTCAAGTTTAGCTCAATATTAGGGTTTTCCATCCAGCAGTGACGAAGGTTTTCAGACATGTCTTTTATGACTGACATGATTGTTGTTGCATGCCATATTTCATCCTGAATATCTTCCTTCTTTTCACCTGTTATCAACCGATAGTTCAACTCATGGACTGTTAAGAGCAGTTTCAGAGCAAGGACATCTGTCCACTCTGGGTTGTGCTTGAGGATACCGATGTCAACATCTTTAATGCCCCACATGTTTAATATATTCTGAATTGCAAGAGTAAAAAATGTGGTGCCATTAGCATCCATTAACTCACCTCTCCCTGTAGTATTGAGAAACTCTGAGAGGTTGGATTGAAGATGCTCACAAAACTCATGTAACTCAACACCACATGGTTGGCCCAAACTGTCCATATCAGTACTAGTACAACAATGGTTAACTGTGAACATTATCAAGGACCAGGAGTTCAGGATCTGCTCTTTATTGATATTATGAACTGTTTTCTCTCTTGTTGAACTGAGGTTTCTTAATGTTTGGAGCTCCATAATAAGTCTGAGAGTGACATTTGTTCTACAGGACGTTAGCTTTTTAAGTGAAGCTTCAGTGGCTTGCCATTGAGCCAAAGATGAGTTGAAGTCCATGGTCACAGCAGAAAGCAGAGCCAGGAAAGATATTACACAAGCAATCAGTATTCTGCGAACAGTACGGCTGCGACTGCCACAACTGAGTAAAGACAACCTGTGAACAGAGTGTAAACAAAATTCAGTCATACATGGTGAGTATTTAAAGTATTTCACTTTGTGGTTGTAAAAACCTTAGTGGAACATGCTGTCAAGTCACCTTTATTTATGGTCTAACGTGATCTCACCAAGTAGAACATGTTCCTGGAACAAAATTGCAATCAACCAATCAAATTTGAGAGATATTTTTTGTGGTTAATGTCAAGTTTAGGCTTAACAAGGGTTAGAGCTTCTGCACCATTCTTAGTGACCTATCATTCCCTTTCAGTGTGCCATGTTAGACATCATGTCGGAACATACCAATGAATTGGGATCTCGCCTGAGAGCCCAATCATCTTTGACTGTAACTAAACTAGCCAATGCACATTGGCAGACGTGGTTTGCATTGCGAACCACACCCCGCAAAGATGGTATATAAGGAAGCCTGCAAATCTAGCCCATTCACCTTTTCGCATTGTAGCCGAGCATTTCACCTCAGCTCTAATCATAGTTTAAGTATCTACGAATCTGGGAAGCACTTCATTGGTGTTGGTGTGACGGAGCAGCAGCGGTGGTCGCTTAGAGGGCAACATTTTCTATCTAAAAGAGTATTTCTCAATCACATCTGCAGGCTGCACTTTAAATTCCTGCTTAGTCTGTGTGGTGGCCAGGTCCCCTGTACGCTTCAGCTCTTTAAAAAGAGCAATTTCCCAAAAAGAGCAGTATGGGTGTGACACTGTCTCTGTCATTCCATCTGTGTGTTTCCCGATGCGGTTGTTACCTGGCTCCATCTGACAGTCACGGTCACTGCCTCACATGTTTAGGATTAAAGCATGCTGAGGTAGTGTTTTTGGTTGAGTAATGCACCCACTGCGGGAAGATGACCATTGTGATGCTGCGGTCAAGACTCGATTGCCTGCAAAGAGGTAGAGTCCCCTCTGTTCTGCCCCGATCTAGTTCCTCTTCTGGTGTTCAGAACAGGGCTACTTTGGGGAATAGCCAGGGTGACCTGAGGATCACAGTGATGCCCAAGCTGCAGAGTCAATCTCCACAGCCCCCTTAGTCCTCTACGCGCATTGCAAACTGTGGAGCTTCTGGGGGAGATTGCTTGTCCTTCTCAAGGGACCTAGCGTTTAATTCAGGGCTCCGGCAGAGGATCAGATGTCGATCGCTGCATCGGATGGTGGGCTAGTGTCCTCTGGGATGAGGACTTGGTTGCACTGCCCAATTTGGATACCTCCAACGTGTCCTTGAGGTCAGATGATTAGTTTATCAGGGCTGCACACGCTGACCATCAGTGCCCAAGTGCCAGTGCCATTCTTCCTGGAAGTGCATGAAGAGATTTCCCGATCGTGGCAGGCCCCATTGTCCCATCATAACCGTCCTGGAGTAACGCCGGTCTGATTGTTTCATAAGAGGACAACACTGCAAACCGTCGCGTACATCATCAATAGGGTCTATGCTCCCATTGCATGTCGCAACTCGCCCGCCATCTTCTCCTCTGGAGCCAAAAGCATCTGAGGTTGCTTCGTGCAATGTATATTCCAGGCCAGCTCAATCGTGCAGGAGACCCTGGCACACAGCTGGACTGGGGGCATACGCAAGTATGAGTTTCTCCCAGTTCTTGCACAAACACTGTGCAAAGTCAGGGCGGACAAGGAGCAGGTCCTGGCCCTGGGATTGGCCCAAATGGACCTGGTTCCCAGAACTCATGCTACTCGCGACGGCCCTCCTCCCTCCGCGATGAAGGAAGGATCTACTTTCTCAAAGACGGGGTACCTTATGGTACCCGTGTCCGGACCTCTGAAACCTCCACGTGTGGTCTCTGGACGGGACGAAGAGGACTAAGACGACCTTCCCCCTGAGGTTGTAGACACTATCACTTCAGCACAAGTGCCCTGTACGAGGCACACTTATGCTCTGAAGTGAAACCTGTTTTGTCTTGCTCTTCTCACTAAAAAAACCCACGGGGATGCCTGGTCAGAGCTGTGCTTTCCTTCCTACAAGAAGGGCTGGAGCGAAGGCCGTCTGTCTCCACCCTAAAAGTATGTTGCCACTATTGCCGCACAGCATGGTACAATGGATGGGAAGTCCCTGGGAAAGCACGTACTGATCACGGGTTCCTAAGGGGCGGGAGAAAACTAAATCCTCCTCGCCCTCTTGGGACTTCTATCTGGTATTAATGGCCCTGCAACAAGCTCAGTTTCAGCCATTGCAGTCTGTCGAGCTTAATAATTATATCTTTTAAGACCGTGCTTCTGACTGCACTAGCTTCAGTCAAGAGGTTAGGGGAACTGCAGGAATTTTCGGGCGAAGAATTGTGCCCAAGGTTTCCCCTCTTAATGACCTGGATATGTACGCTTATTCTTCTTCACAGACTTAAATTAGACATAACTGAGAATCCATTATATTAGCTGCGCTATCAAGACTAATAGTATAGTTGAATACTGTAAATACTCGAACAGTTCCTCCAGCACCCTCAGCAGTCAGATGTGGTAGAGACGTCCAACGCCACTCGTAAGTACACCTACTGGTTGATCCATGTGTTAGACTAGGTGCCCATCTGTTGTGATCCCCCTATGGGGGATCTCATTTCTGTATTCCCAGCCCGTTCTCATCGCGTTGGTATTCCCCTACGGTACGGCTTCCCTATCGGCGAGCCTGTGTCTTTCCCTTGGCAGAGTCCGCTCTGCCGTCTCTGTCCGGTGTTGTCTCACCTCTAACTGGGCTGGAGCTAACCTAGAGACTTCCAAGTCCAAGTGGGATCGCACTTTGTCGGTACATTCTCGGTGAAGTCAAATGTTAGCGACTGAACGGGAACATCTAGCTTCCTATTGTAACACCCTGAAGGAGGGAACGGAGATGTCACGTCCCATCGCCACAATTTCTGTACCACCGCTGAGTGGCCGGGTCATCAACTCGGCTCCTCAGTGAAACTATGAATGGGCTTGATTTGCAGGCTTCCTTATTTACCTGCTTTGTGGGGCATGGTTTCTCGCCTGGCAATGTTCATTGGCTCATTTAGTTACATTCGAAGATGATTGGGCTCTCAGTCGATATACCGACTAGACTTCTCTGG